TGGCTTTTATATCGCACCAGTTGAAGGACAGGTGCCGGGGCTCTACTACTAGTGGTAAGGTTTCCGAACTAGAAGTTAGTAGTCATATGAAAAGGCATGCGATAGGGGAACGACATACAAGCTATCCCGCGCATTGTTTTACGTTTCACATGCGCCATAGCAAAGGTCTGGAAACGAGTAGCGGTCAGTGGCAACGTACGAAGAGACGTGACGCAAGCGAGCACGATTTGATGGCATCGACGGCATCTTCCGAGCTCAACGCGACGCGAGGTGACGCGTCCCGGGCGCACTCGGAGCGCGTGCAGTGGCCTCGAGATCTATCCGTGACCACTCGTGAAGCGTAAAGTACCTAACAGCTTGACACGATGGAAACACCCCAGATTTTTTGCGGATTTCTTGGAGAATACATCGTCATCCGATGAACGGTTGGACAATAGTTCGATAAGCGTCTGAGCGACGTCTCAGTAGTAAGTGCCCCTTCCCTTCTTCTGCCGTGATCTCTGTCCCAGCTGCTATCGTATAGGCTCGATACCAGCCGCCCTGTCATATAGGTAGCCATTCCAGCGTGCCGACCACCCTCCCACCCTCGGTACGCACCCCACCAACTACCGAGTAGACTGGTCACGAGTCTAGCTATTGTAGGCAATCCGTGCTTGTAGCCGTCGGCAGCCAGGCCACCTTATCAGGTTTACTGGCTTCTCCAGTTCTAGACTTATAGCGTTGACGCACGATTTCTGGATATTGGACGTGTCTTCGGGCGAGGCGTACTTGTCGGGTTAGCTCCTCAAGGCTAGCGCTGTGCAGGGTAATTTGCATCGTGAAATGGGAGGTCCGAGCTCTGAGCACCAGCTCATGACTCGACTCGACAAGCGACTGTCTGGTAGGGTTCTAGTGACTCGTCGTGCCCGATATGCTACATGTCGGCCTTCCACGTCTGCATGTCCGAGACGTCGGGATGGCGCCTAGATTGGCCCTAATATATTGTGGGCGGAAGTACAGCCCATATACTGCGCGTGACAAATCGCCAACCAACGCAGCATCCTTCGATGCCGGCAGGACCTGGTTCCTAAGCTTGGGAACCAGTCTGCCAGGCAGCCCGGGCTGTGGGAGCCACCAGGCTTCTTCGCCGCGGCGGATCCGATAGACTACGATCACGAAGGCAGCTCAGCGCATTACGCAGCCATGGGACGATATAAGAGAAGAATACGGGCAGGAAGTCATCATACATCCACTCCCGCCCCTTCGCCGAGAGAGGCGGACTTGCAGCTTTGTGGCTCTACACATTAGGCAGTGTGCACCGACCTCCCGATGGCATCATCGGCCGACACCGAGAGCGTGGCAGCTCCCCCGCCCGGCGGGATGCGCTATAGCACTCGGGATGCCGAGCTCGACGAGAAATTCTACGACGACGCCGAGACCGAGTTCATCTCTGAGCTCACAGGTATCAAAGACCCGGATGAACTGAAGAAGCACGTCCTGCAGGTCCAGCGCGAGGTTTACGCGGTGAGTACCCTCGATTTTCGACGCTCCGGGGATCTGGGTCTCCACTAGTGAAAAGCCTAATTAAAAGTAAACTGTAGGTCCACCCGTACCCTTGTATACGGCTCTGCGGCTTTGTGAAGTGAGTCTCCACTGCAAAGCGACTGCCTTGCTGCTTGCTTATTGAGAGTTACAACTGCTACCAGAACGAGGATATCTCGCTTCCCCACCTACAAGGATCTCCTGCAGCTCGGAAGGGACCGCCCGGGCGCACTGTTTCTCGACATTGGCTGCGGTGTTGGCAATGACACCAGGAGGGCCGTTTTGGATGGATTCCCAGCCAACCAGATCGTCGCCTCGGATCTCCATCCCGGTGAGTGCACCCTAGACCATCTCGCAGCTCCGAGACATTTAGCTGAGCGTGTGCACGACAGAGTTCTGGGACATAGGCCACAAGGTGTTCAAGTCCACACCCGAGTCATTTCCGGTCAAGTTCATTGCAGGCGACGCCTTCGACGACTCTTTCCTCGCGTACGGCGGCCCCATTGCAACCCCGGCAGCGGGCAGTGAGCAGCCAACGGACCTGTCCGCTCTGACTTCGCTCACCCCGCTCCGCGGGAAGCTGTCGGTGATCTACGCCTCGTCACTCTTCCACCTTTTCGGCGAGGAGCAGCAGAGCGAGCTCGCGCACCGCCTCGGCTCGCTGCTCTCACCCACGTCAGGCTCGTTCATCTTCGGGGCACACCTCGGGAAGCCCGAGAAGGGCCTATTCCTTGAGAACATACGTCCGAACATCCCTGAAGGCGTGCGCATGTTCTGCCATAGCCCGGAGAGCTGGAAGGCGTTGTGGGAAGAGGTACTTGGGGAAGGCAAAGTAGAGACCAAGGCCGTGCTGAGGGAGGTCCAGCGGCCGGATATGCCAGAGGGTGTGATGGCACAATTCATGATCTGGTCCGTTAAGCGACTGTGAGGCTGCGGGAAGATCGCTATTCTACCGTTCAGGTTCCTAGATTTCTTGTTTTGGCGTAACAATAATCCCACGCGGTATCTTCTGACATCTTGCCTCGGTGCATAACGATCTATGACGATGGAACCACTGTGCGGCTGTTTGAGGGATGATCAAGACAGTGGGTGCAGTGCTGTATCGGTGATTGTGCAGTGTGATGGCGCGAGTCGTATAATTACATGTGGCTGATAGGCCTTTTGGCCACACGCGTCCCATATGGTCTCAAGTGCTGTGGTCTCGAATCTGATAATGTAAGAGCCCTACGACGCTGTGAAAGTCCGTTTTCTGGAAGTGCGGAGGCAAGATCATCAGCCCGCCTCCCACTGTCGTTGCAGGAGGAACCACGCGGAGCCATAAGATAACCACGCGACCATACACGTGGAACCATAAGATAGAAAGACATTGCCCAGACCCACTCACGCACCTGCGAGTAAGCGGAGGGACAAAGCCAGCTGGATGGGCAGAGCACCCGCTCGGGACCGAACGTGCCACAACCAACGAATCAAACGGTCCACAGCCGTGTACCTTCCCAGCCATGCCGTGCTAAATTGCTGCTCTTCTCAGCCCTTTCAAAAGGAAGACGAAGAATACGGCCACGCACGCGCAGAAGTAGTGTCTATATGTACGTACTTGCGCCCGCGTCTGCAAGGACAGGTGAGGCTCTACCGCAAACTAGTAGAGGTTAGTGACAGTGAGAGGTATCCGTTGGGGAACCAGTATACGAGTTATCCCATGCCTCACATGTCCTCTGGTAAGATGAACGACAACGGGTAGATAAGGAGGCAAAGACGAGGTGCCCAACTGCTGAGCGCCGAGCGTTTGAACGTTGAACGTGTGCTGCCGAGGCGTCTCCCTGAGCTTGACGCGACGCGCGCGTCTTGAGTACGACGAGCTCGATGATATCCGCTCCCCGCAGGAACACAGAAGAATCAGCGTCCCGGAACAACTTCAGAGAGGATGGCTGCAATTAGAAAGCGAGCTCATGACGTGCGTGATCCTCGAGATCTCCCAAAAGCTTGATTTCTGCCTCCAAGCGGGTGGGCTGCAAATTATCGACCAGCCCGTGGCCTTCTACGAACGTTCCAATAGACGCTATACAGCTGGAGATGTGCTCACATTAGCTTGCAAAGTCTCGGGAGTGGGATATTTCATTAATCAGATAAATCTGGCACTCCACGGACGCTACATTGATCGATTATTTCGGCTGAATTCCGACTTCTCATTCCGTGGACCGCTCAAACAGTGCTATAAAAATGTGGGTGAATATCGATGAATTTCAGACATCGACAATGGATGTGAATACCAAATCCTGGCATGGAATCTTGATGGTCATAAACCGAAATTACCTGCCAATTCCGATTTAGCGCCCAAATAGGCCACAAGAAACTCGCTCACTAGCATTGTTAGCTTATTAGGTAGCCGGCAGGGTGCGTACTGAGTACTGAGTACTGAGGGTGGAACGATGATTAGCACGTTAGAATGGCGACTTGCACAGTAACATCCCATGCAACGCCGCCAGTACCGAGGCTACGTAACTCGTTAGAGAATGCCCAGGCTACGCCGCGATCTTGGTCCCTCCTATCACAATTAGATGCTAGTTCGAGGATTCGGGTTCGCGCTGAAGATATACCGTGCGGAGTTGGCTTCGAGAAGCCAGCATTTGATTGCTGCAGCTGCTGACGTGCCGGTCCTGCTCGACTGGCCGATATACAACATGAAGCGCTCGGGCTAGACATTCGCAGGCACACTCTGGACGAATGAGCGGCTGCTCGAGCTAATCTACACTCTGGACAGCTAGAGCAGGTATCGAAGAGCCAGACAAGGTGGATATATACATAAGCGCTAATTGTAGATGTATGCCGCAGTCAAAAAGGGTTTGGAAGGTGGGGATCTAACTTCACGCTCAAGCCTCAACACCAGCTACTGGTCTAGTTTCAGGTACGGCTGTCTAGCAGGGTTCCGAACGACTCATGTTGTGCCCGATGTGCGACTCGTCGGCGCGCGACGGCGTCTAGATTAAGGCTCTGATATATTATGAGAGAAAGTGCAATCCTTATTCTGTACGTGAAGATTGTCAAACAACACGGCACTTTACAGCACCCTTCGATCCTTGTGGCACTCGGTGACACCTTAGGCCTCAGGGACCGGTCTGTCAAACTGCGGGAATCGCCAAATTGCGAGCCGCGGCGGAGCCTCAAGTACGATCGCAAACTTGACAGCTAGATTTATTATGTAGCCGAAGGAGGATATAAGGAGAGAGGTAAACGAGGCATCATCGGCTCTCGCCACCGTTACTGAGAGAGGCGGGATTGCAGCTTTGTGGCTTTACCGACATTTCCGCGTTAGGCAGCGTGCACCGACCACCCGATGACATCGCCGGCAGATGGCACTGAGAGCGTTGCAGCACCCCTGCCCGGCGAAACGCACTACAGCCGGGATGCCGAGCTCGATGAGAGATTTTACGACGGTGTCGAGACCGCGTTCGTCTCTGATATCACGGGCATCAAGGACCCGGATGAGCTGAAGAGACACGTCCTCCAGGTCCAGCGTGAGGTTTATGCGGTGAGCACCCTCAATCTGAGTCGAGGCTCCGGAACTCTGGGTCCGCACTAGAGAAACATTAATTAAAAACAAATCTTCCTGACCGGTAGATTCACCCGTACCCCTGTATTCGGCTTTGCAACTTCGTGAAGTGAGTCTTCACTACAAAGCAACAGTAGTAGTCCGGCACGCTCATCGCGAGCTTTGGCCTCTGCTAGAGTGAAGATATCTCGCTTCCCCATCTACAAGGACCTCCTGCAGCTCGGGAGGGAACGCCCGGGCGTGCTATTTCTCGACGTTGGCTGCGGTGTTGGCCATGACACTAGGAAGGTTGTCTTGGACGGATTCCCAGCCAATCAAATCATCGCCTCGGACCTCCATCCTGGTAAGCGTACCCGAGCCTTGGTAGCGGCCTTCAGCTGAGCGTGTTACCAACAGAGTTCTGGGGCATAGGCCACAAAGTGTTCAAATCCACGCCCGAGTCATTCCCGGTCAAGTTCATTGCAAGTGATGCCTTCGACGACACCTTCCTCACATACAGTGGAATCATTGCGACCTTGAAGTCTTTGGATACCCCGGCAGCGGGCAGTGAGCAACCAGTGGACCTGTCTGCCCTGACCTCGCTCACACCGCTCCGCGGGAGAGTTTCGGTGATTTATGCCTCTTCGTTCTTCCACCTCTTCGACGGGGAGCGCCAGAGCGAGCTCGCAAGCCGCCTTGCGTCGCTACTCGTACCCGCGCCGGGCTCGTTCATCTTCGGGTCACATATCGGGAGGCCCGAGAAGGGCCTGCGTGTCATGAATATTACACAATCCGGATGGTTCTCCCGGATTCCATGGTATTCTTTCACTTTCTATACACCTCCGTATATTCGTAGGATATTCTAGGTATTCAGTCTGACA